GACTTCACATCTCGTGAAGAACTCTAAGCGCTGCGGAGCCTAACGGACCCAGCGTGCGCCTTAAGAAGGCTATAGGGGTCTGATCAACCTCTGGCCTCTCCCCGTCGCCGAACGATCCCTCGACAAACCCCTTCCCTGCGCGCTTGTTCCACGGAGCCTAGCAAGCTTCGTGTGTATGTGTGTATCCAGAGCTCTGTCTGAGTTATTTCAAGAGGCTCGAGTTTTCTGCGGGTCTTGTTCGAGTTCATGTTGTGGAGCTTAGCAAACTCCACGTGTCTGTCTGTAACTGCAATGCAAGCAAGTTTTCCTGCCTGCACCGCGACCATCTACGGTGTAAGTAAAATAATCTTTAATCAACTGCTACGCGTCCGTGCCTAATTCTAGTCTGCCGGCCTGCATTCCCCGACCCGGCATGTCCAGGCTGCTGGCCACAGCCCGCCGCGCACCCCCGAGGGCCTCAGACCGCTCCCGGCCCGCACAGCTACAAGATGGATTCCTTGAGGATCTGCTCCATGATTTTTCCACAGACTGAGGTCACTGAAAAAAACCTTAGCTTCCAGAAAGAAACCTAGCTGATCAGCATAAGAGTCCCAGGGAAATAAACTGGCCACATCAAATTCTTCAGTGTGGCCCAAACTAGCCATGTTAGAGAGCAACTGCACTGGCCAACAAGTAGAACGAAAAGAGCCCCGGCCCCTTCTAACCTGCAGCGCAGGTCTCCACAAGTTTGTTCTTTTGACTGAAGCACTAGAAACATCCTATGCACTGGGATCCCATCCTTGTCACCAGCTTCATGTATCTGTGGGGTTCTTATCCAGAGATATCATGCAGGCAGGAACACAGGAACCATCTTTATTATTAACAGCTAACACCTCCATAATGCTGTATGGTAAATTCAGAACAACAACATGAATTAATCAATTTGAGTGATACTCAGTACACAATACGTCATATGCCATGCTTGGCAAGGACAGATGGTATGGGCTAGTATATGCTTTGCAATAGTGTTCGCAAGTCTTGCTGTTTCCGGAGAGTGAGAATAACAGTAGTAGGGTTCTGTACGTCTCATGAGACAATAAAACTGTGCCGAGCGAGGCGCTTCCTGAATGCCTGTGAATGTGGCTGTCAAGCCTAATTCTTGAGTGACAGTCCCTTCTGCACTTGCCTCCTCTAAAGTTTGTATTGAATAATCCTGAATGTGGCATGGGTTTCTTCCCAAGATTTCTTCCTTCCTCAAAAGCCTGCATTCCAGGTTTAACAGACTATATCCAAGCGCTTCAATCCTCATCAGTCTTCTCCCCAGTCATTTGGCTATAAGTTCATTGCCTTCATATCTCTCTTGCAAGCATCTTTGTACCAGAGATAAGGATGCCCATGTGGTCCTCTTCCTGTAAAGAACTCTCCATACAAGAGATCCTTGGGGATGCAGCCATCATCCATTCTCCTTGTAAGACCAAGGCATCCAAGTCGATGCTGACTGAGGAGAGAGTGGATGCTCAGCAGGTTGGCATGTTTCAAGACTTCAGCATGGCCAACTTTGTCCCCACCCCCAGGAAGTTTTTGGATTCAGTGAAGGCAAAATAAGTGGAAGCTGCTGAGTCTCATTTCTGGAGTAGAGTATGTGGTCCAGAATTTGCTGCCATAGAGTGTTGATGACATAAGAAGGATAGATTTTGACCTTGGTCTTAACAGTCAGTTTGTTGTTCTTCCACTCTCATTTGTTCAGCAATGAACAAGCCTGCACAGCCCCCATACAGGGGCTTGTTCATCGCACAGCAAACTGGTGGACATCCAGCTGCATCCTTCAATGTGTTTGTGTCAGGGACATTGCACCCCACTCCACTCCCATGGTTACTAGTCCTGAGTAACATTGCTCCCTCTCATCTCCACTGCACAAATACTGAAGTAAACTTACTAGCCAGACTCCATGATAATACTATGCTGCCAGTGCACTGGGACATATTCCACCCACTAATAGCTTGGCTCCCCTCAAAGTGCTCAATATGGTCCACCTTTCAAAATCCTCTGATTTTTCCTTACTTACTCATTGGCACAAAGAATGGTCAGCACAAGCACCAATCAATCACCACATCATCTCTGATCCTACAGTCAGTCAACCAGGATTTAACTGACCATGCTGTTATTAGGCACTTCTTAACTGTTTTCAAACTGGACAGGGTCACTGTGCCTCAAACCTACACAAATGGGGCCTTCGCAATGACAACAAATGCCCTTGTAGACAAGTTCAAACCATGTCCCACATTGTTGACTCGTGTCCATTTACAATGCTACCTGGTGACCTTCATGCTCTTCACACTGGTAGTGACATCGCTGAAGATGGCTGAAATAATATACTGAAACCACATATGCTATATAATTTTGCTCAGCATGTTCATGACACCTGATACTTTGCCAATACGGGTATTCAGTTCAACCCCAAGTGACAGTAAAAATGGAGTCAAGGTACATAAATTAACTTACAGTATCCAATATGTTTTCATCTATTGTGATCGCTGGTGGAGAACAAACGTTCTGGCCCATATCATTGATCTTCTTGATGCTGCTAGTAAGACTGTAGCATTGCACTGTGTGTGCCTGCCACTTGCAACCAGTGGGTTGCATACCGGGGGTATAGACCCCGGCCCCAGTGAAGGGGCGGCCCCAAGAGAGGGGGCAGTGGAGAGACGCCCCAAGAGAGGGGGCAGTGTGATCAGGCACCAGAGAGGGGGCGGTGATCAGGCCCAGAGAGGGGGCGGTGATGAGGTGCAACCGGTGGGTTGCGTGCAGGGACCCCGGCCCCAGGAAGGGGGCGGTGATGAGGCCCCAGAGAGGGGGCAGTGGTGAGAACCCCCCAGTGAGGATGCGATGAGCCCGCGGAGAGTGATGGGGGCGTGGCGCTGCGGTTGTCCCGGTGGAGAGGGGATTGCAGTGTGGTGAAGCCCGAGGGGATAGAGTGAGGGGCTAGAGACCCAGCCCGAAGGAGAGAGTACCCTTGACTGGCCCAAGCTGGGGCCAGGACTACAGTAGTCAAAAGGGCCGGGGGCCCACCACGAGGGACGCCCAAGGGGCCCCCACTGGCCTTGAGGTGGGCCAGGGCTAGGGGCCGAAGGTCCCGGGGGGACCACACCCGAGAGGGGAAGAAGGCTTCGGGGGGGGGCAGCGACGTAGAGCCCCAAGCGACGTAGAACCCCAGTGTGAGCGGGCAGAGCCCCAGTGTGAGGGGGCAGCGACGAGGAGCCCCAGTGTGAGGGGGCAGCGATAATTTAAGGGGGGAGGTGTGTGGCAAAGCACAGGGTGTGTCTGCCACTTTAAGGGCCTGGAGCTGGCCCCCTACCGGGAGTGGGTGGCCTGGTGGGGCTCTCAGTGGCACGGGCGCCCCCAGGAAATGCCAGGCCAGTTATCACCCCGGTGAAAGGCAGTTGGGGCGCCTTAACCCCTAGCTCCCACCACCACCGGGTGGGTTACCCTTGTGTTTGTTGCAGGGCCCAGAGGGCCAGTGTTGTGAGGGGCCCAGAGAGGGCGGACCCCGAGAGCGTGATGGAGTACAGGGCGTGGTGCTGCGGTTGCCCCTAGGAGAAAGGGAGTAGTGACACGGTGAGGCCCGAGGATGCGAGTGAGGGGCTAGAGAGACCCAGCCCGAAGAGAGAGTACCCTCCGCTGGCCCAAGCTGGGGCCAGGACTAGGAGAGTCAAAAGGGCCGGGGGCCCACCGTGAGGGACGCCCAAGAGCCAGGGGCCTGGGGTCCCGACTGGCCTTGAGGTGGGCCAGGGCAAGAGGCCGAAGGTTCCGGGGGAACCACACCCAAGAGGGGAAACTGGCTTCAGGGGGGCGAGGTAGCCCGGATGAAGGCGGAGAGGCCGCCTGAGTGGAGAGGATCATAGAGAGGGGTCCTGTATGGATGATTCTGGGGCCCAGTGTGGGGCCGGTGATTATG